TTCAAATGCCATGTATTGTCATGGGTTATACTTCCTGAGTGTGCTAACTAGTGTAAAGCTGGCCCACACAGGCTCACAAGGAGCAGTTGTTCAAGTCTGAGAAATTTTACAAGTCAGTTGACATCATGTTGGCAGCTTGAAATCAGCCATGGTAAAGGTATTCATACCAGAAATCAGCAAATGCTTTAAATCAGAACCACCTCCTCCCTCCTCACCAGCCAGTTGTATACATTTACAGCACACCACTTGGCTAAACTTTACCCTTCAATATTGCTTTTAAACTGAATTCACTGCGCTTTTAGTTCTCTGCTTAAAAACAGTTTTTAAATACCACAGATATTTTGTTTTCTTGACATAAACTGGCTTTTCATTTAAGAATCAAATGAATCTGGGGTGTCTGGGTGGCTCAGTTGGTTGAGCATCCGACTTCAGCTCAGGTCATGATCTCATAGTCTGTGAGTTTGATCCCCGTGTCGGGCTCTGTGACGACAGCTCAGAGCCTGGAGCCTGCTTTGGATTCTGTGTCTCCCTCTCTCTCTGCCCCTCCCCCCTCTCATGCTCTGTCTCTGAAAAATGGATAAACCTTTAAAAAAAAAAAAAAGGATCAAATGAATCTGTTAATGCAGCTATTTACTTCATTGCCTAATTACCCTTACTTTTCCAGCCTGTGGTATATCTTGCTCATTATTTACAATTTCACTGCTTCAGACGTAAGAATTCCTCTATTTTGAATTAATTAAATTTAGTTTGAGTACAAATTACTATGATTTAAATTTCATTACCTCTCACCTTGCCTTCTTGGGCAGTGTTTAAAATTTCTCCACACTTTTATCCAAATAAATAAACCTGCTCTCTCCTGAGATAGAAGAAGAGGATGGAAGTGATAACCTTCTAAAAAAAAGCTTGATGGGGGCACCTCGGCAGCTCAGTCAGTTAAGTGTCTGACTTCGGCCTGGGTCATGATCTCACCATTTGTGAGTTTGAGCCCCGTGTCATCGGACTCTATGCTGACAGTTCAGAGGCTGGAGCCTGCTTCGGATTCTATGTCTCCCTCTCTCTCTGCCCTTCCCCTACTCACGCTCTCTTTCAAAAATAAACATTAAAAAATAAAATAAAAAGTAAAAAAATCTTGATGAATTAATTGAACTTTCGTTTAAAAATTATACCATATCAGAACTTTTTCTCTTGAAACTTTTTCTAAGGTAAATGTGAATTATTTTGTAGGTAGTAAAGCTCATTAACATTGGTCTTAATGGTGTTTTTTTTTTAAATGTGAATTATTTGCTGATACCTTAAAAATTTTGAGACCTGAATATATTTGCATATTATTTTTTAATTTCATGATGTGTAGTATTTCTTGTTTTGAATTTGGTTGCTTTCATTTTAAATATTATTAAGTATCTTTGGAAGCCACTTTTGCTACTTAATGACTTTCTCATTTCAATTTCAGATACATAGATTTACAAGTACAAACTTGTTTTGAAGTCATTGTTGACTCTTTCAGTCAAAACTTTTTTCACTGACATTTCAAAATGCCTTCAGTTTACAACAAGTGCTAAAACTTTTTCCATTGTTTTCATTATTATTTCTTTTACCAAAAGCAGTATCTCTCCCTATCTACCTATCTATCTATCTATCTATCTATCTATCTATCTATCTAATCAGAGCACCAGTTGGTCCCTCTTGGTTTTAATGTATCTTAAAAAGCATAAGAAGTAGTAACATTTCGGGCACCTGGGTGGCTCAGTCGGTTAATCTCCCGACTTTGGCTCAGGTCATGATCTCATGGTTTGTGGGTTTGAGCCCTGTGTTGGGCTCTGTGCTGACAGCTCAGAACCTGGAGCCTGCTTCAGATTCTGTGTTTCCCTACCTCTCTGCCCCTCCCCTGCTTGCTCTCTCTCTCTCTCTCTCTCTCTCTCAAAAATAAACAAACATTAAAAACTTTTTTAAAATGTAGTAACATTTGCTGGTTAAGACTTAAAAATCCTTTCCAGAATTTGCAATGGAGTTCCTACCCTATGCCAATGGATCCAGAGAGTAAAAAGTTCAGAGAAAAACCTAAGCTAATAGCCCAATTACTATAGAATACTTCACTTATCAACCTGACAAATTATTATTTTTTAAAGTTAACAGACACTAGTAGGTATTGTAAACAAAACAGAGGATTGTAAGCAGGGACTGTTTTTATTCTACCTGAACTCCTGTCGGCACCCTCTTCCCTCATGTGAACATGGTTCTTCTCTCTCTCTCTCTCTGTGGGATTGGGGGTGATCGTCTCCCATGCTTAGATGCTTGGTCTCAGGCTATGGTGTTTGGCAGAAATCAGTGATTTTCCAGAATGTTAGAAGGTGCCCACAATGGGCACTAGTTTATTTTTTGTTACTTCAAAGCACCTGTGGACAGTCCTTTGCTTTTCCATACAAGAGTTAGCTTAGGAATAATTTGCTTCATTCTAGGTCATTGGATAGGTTCCTTGTTGAAGGTGCACAAAAAGAAAAAGATTCCATTGACCCAATGGATAGTAGTGATTCTGTGAGTGATAGTGAAAGTCGTTCTACACAATAACACTCCTGTCTTTTGTCTCCCTCACAACAAAGGTTTTCAAAGGTAAGTGCTGGTTAATTTTTCTTTGTATTTTGTACTTTATTATTTTATATTATATTATAGCATTGTAATCATTTTTATATGAATATTTTTGGGTTGTGAAATGAATCATCTGAGTTTCCATTATCTCTTATGAGGAAATTCGCATTGATATACAGGTGCTTTGGATTACAAACATGTTTCCAGAGTGAACCATGCTCACAAACCAAGGTTTTATGAATTTCAGTTGGAATTTTACAGTATGTAGCATAGTACAGTATGTAGCCTTTTAAAGATTTGCTTCTTTTGTTTCATAATATGCATTTAAGGTTTCTCCATGTCTTTTCATGGCCTGATGGTTCATTTCCTTTAACTCTGAATAATATTCCACTGTCTGGATGTAGCAAAGTTGATTTATCCATTCTCCTATTGAAGGACATTTTTGTTGTTTTCAAGTTTGAGCAATTATGAATAAAGCTCCTAAAAACATCTGTGTGCAGGTATTTGTATGGACAGAAGTTTTTAATTCCTTTGGGTAAATACCAAGGAGTACAACGCCAGATCATATGTAAAGAATATGTTTAATTTTGTAAAAATCAGCCAAACTATCTTCCAAAGTGGCTGTACCATTTTGCACACCCAACAAAATGTATGGGAGTTTCTAAGATTCTACGTCCTCATTTGGGGAACATTTGGTATTGTCAGTGCTCTGGACTTTGGCCATTCTAATAGGTATGTACTAGTTTCTTTGCTTATTTTTTACTATATCTGAGATCCTTTCCTCCTGGTATTCCCACCTTTATTTGGTCCCCTCCCACATTATATCAGGGTAGGGTAGATATAGAATTGTATATCAGATACAATTTTGCAGAACTGACGGTGTCTTCACTTCCAAGATGAGGTTATAAATGATTGCAGCTTGGTCACTCTGGCAGTGGGGTCATTTGCCCTGGGAACCTTGTTGTGAACAGCCCTGTGGAAAGGTCCATATGGCTGGGAATTGAAGTCTCCTGCCAACGGCCATGTGAGTAAGCTTAGAAGTGGACCCTCCAGTCAGGTCTTCTGAGAATGTTTCGTTGGCCAATATCTTGCATAATTTCATTAGAGACCTTGAACCAAAACCACCCAGGCTGAGCTACTCCAGATTCTTGACCCTTAAAAATTGTGTGAAACAATAAATGTTTATCCTTTTAGGATGATTTGTTATGCAACAATAGATAACTAAATAACTCATTTTAAATTACCTGCTAGGGTGCTTTGGTGGCTCAGTCTGTTAAGCATCTGGTTCTTGGTTTCAGCTCAGGTCATGATCTCACGGTTTGTGAGTTCGAGCCCTGTCTCGGGCTCTGCACTGACAGCACAGAGCCTGGCTTCGGATACTCTCTCTCCCTCTCTCTCTGCCCCCCTCCTACCTGCACGTGCTCTCTCTCTCTCAAAATAAATAAATAAACTTATAAAAAAAAATAAAAATAAACTACTTGCCATTTAAGCCATAAATTCTACTTTGCCCTTTATCATTCGTTCTCCTTGTACGTTCACATACCTCTCAGGGTATTATCCATCTGGGCTGGTGATACGTACCAGGGAGGGGCTAAATTCTGGGACTTAGCCTGAGCCCCCCTGAGAAGCCAAGGCTGACGCTGTCATGCTTCAAGTGAGCAGTCTTGGGTATTTAAATCTGTACCTCCTCCAGGCTTTCAAGGGCTTTTTGACTTAATTATACTCTCCTGGTTCCTGTTATTTAAAGACTGCTGGGGCAGAAGGGAGCATTAAAGGACCCGATAGTCTGTTTATACCACCCAACACGAGCTCATATATTGCCCTGATGTTATCCTGCTGTTCCAAGAGGCTGAGCTGGTTGCTAGTCTGATACTTAGTGCAATGAAGCAAGTGATGGTTCACATGGGTCACTGTGTAAGAAAGAGAAAGTACCTTCAATAAACTTGCACCCACCTGACCAATATCCTGTCTCTGTGCCTTAGCCAGGTTTTGTGTGACTTGTAACCCTTTCTATAGTCCCAGGAATCTTGTTTGTTTTTCGCTTTTATGTTTGACAAATTCATCAGTTTTCTTTTGGTTTCTGTGACATCTCTAGACTTGAATTCAGGGAAGAAAAGATGATATTCTTGCAGGAATCAAAACATCTAATTCATCTTTTCATTTTCCCATTTCTTTTATTTATTTTTTGTTATTCCCAATAAGTTTTTCCCATTTCTTTAAAAAAATAATTTGTTAAATTTTCATTTCCCCATTTGAATCTCCTACTTGCACCAAATAGCACTAGCAAGGTATTCAAAGTGCTTCTTGAATGAAATAAAGAAAAAGCGAAAGAAATGTGACCTTCTCAATTCATATACCTGGTCATACTCTTAAGAAAAATTTAATAAGAATATACCATAATTTTATTCTTCACTCACCTGAAATGGCTTCAGGAATATTTCTTCCATCGCCAGTCTGCCATATTCAGTGAAAAGCTACAAGGGAAATTACACACACACACGCACGCACGCACGCGCGCGCACACACACACACACACACACACACACACAAACTTCAGTATCTGCAAAGTTTTACTTCTGTGCTTTCTTCCATTCATTTTTCCCCCCTCACTATAACATAATACTATATTATTAAGGTTACAATAAACATTTTAAGGAACTAAGTATTAAAGCAGAACGATAGTAATTGGATATTTAAAAATTAAGGACATAAAGTATATGTTAAAAATAAAGTTTCTACTTCAAAGCCAACAACTTTATATCAAGAATGTAGGGCAGTTTTTTGTAGAGAAGATGGGGGAGAAAGAAACATGTTAAAAAACTTTCAAAGCAGAACTTGCACAGATTAGACCAGAGAGCCATAAACTATGTTGGATATATTTAACGAAAGTTGTCGCCTGAGGAAATTTAATGGCACAATGGACTGAATTATTACAAAGGCATAGAGGCATCTGGCTTAAAAATACAACCAAATACACTGCCTTCTTCTGTTTTTAATTGCTCCCAATTGAGAGGCACCCTCTCAGTTTTTTGTGTTGTTCAAAAACGTAAGGAAGATGTCAGAGAACAAAGACCCTAGGGGGTGACTGTGATTAGGCTTCCGATGAGTGTGTCATCAGTGGAATGGGTTTCCCCGTCTGTACACAGGAAATGCCACTTCATCCACAAGACTTACAAGGCAAAACAGCTTCTCAGAGCTGGGGTGCAAGTGATACAGAGGATTCCCACCCCTTGCCCTTCTCGGATAGCTCCCACAGCAACCCCCATCTCTCCTGCAGGGGGATCGGGGAAGCCCAGAGTAATTACTAGGCATCTGATTAGAGTATTTAAATGAAAAGTCTGGAATACTGTGTCTGGAATATTGCAGCTGCTCCAGGGATTAGGCACTCTCATTGGAATCATCTACTAACATAATTTGAATTCACAATCTTTTTTGAGGAGGCTGAGGTGTTGCCATTTACAGGAAAAGTTTTAAACGGTCTCAGAAAAACATTACTTACTCAATATCAAAGTCCAAAATCAGCCCTTCTTTAAGAAATCCCTAAGCTGGTATTGAACAGTGCCATGCCATTAACTTGGAAAATAATTGGCTAGTTATGACACGTGCCTGAAGAAGTAAATCGTACTGATTACAAGAAACATCGAACAGTCATTCAGCATACTGCCTATTTGTCACAAATGCTCAGTGTGAGATACTAGAAATATATTTGGGAATAATGCCGGGTGTGAACTCCAAATGTTATGTCCAGCATCACAGGTTACCCTGCTCTATCATTCTATGTTGTCTGCTAAAGCTGTACATGGCTCTTATTGCCAAGATAGATTATATATTTAAGGTACATAGGTTTTGCTGTGTAACCAAAATAACATGAATTGAAAAAGAGCAGAAAGTGTTACAGAGATGTAAACTATCTTCAGGAAATATCTAATCTTTTACTTATCTGAAATTTAAACGCTACTTGGAGCGTAGAAGAAGCCCTGAGCCCAGAAGATGCCCAGATCTCTATGCCCACTCTACCACTAATTAGCCACATGAGTTTAGGCAAGTCATTTACTATTTTCAGCCAAATTTACCTCATCTGTAAAATATGAAGGGTAAATTAGGAGTCACCGAAGTCTCTTTCAGATCTAAAACAGAGTTTTATGAATTATCAGGTAGCCCTCATAGTTCTTAAGTATAAAGTGGTCCACAGGGGAAAAAAAATCTGGCACGCAACTGATATCATACTAGCAATTATTAAATCTCTGACCATAAGACTTCAACTTCACTTTCACTATTGTTCTCTGCATTTGTGCTGTAACAATACCCCTGAGGGCAGCACATAGAACAGAAAGGGTTTTAAAATGTAGTATTAAAGTATAGTTGACATACAATATAATATTAGTCTCAGGTGCACACCATAGCAATTTGATAGTTGTATACACTATGCTACATTCACCACGGCAAGTGCAGTCACCATCTGTCACCAGACGATGTCATTACGGTATTAATGACAGCGTTCTCTGTGGTGTACTCTTTATCTCTGTGAGTTATTTATTTTATAACTGGATCAGCTTCACATCTGGGGTCATTTTTAAACCAAAGGCTCTTTCTCTACTCTAATTTGCCATATATTTTCAAATATATGGAGCCAGTAGCAGTAGCTTTAGAGTAACAAAGAACTTTGAAAACTGAATGAGAGAGAGAGAACATAACCATGGAGGGCTAAAACAAGAAACCTGGGAATAAGACAATCTCCATTTGATTATGTTTCTAAATCTTTCTGAATTGTTTAGTTTTAGGTAGGAGAAGGCCTAACAAAATCCACACATCTTCAAAACATTACCAGATATATATAAAAAAGAGTATACATATTGTTACCTGGAGGTGCTGAAGATCATCCTCCTGGACATTCTGGGATAAGTTATATACCTTGATTAAGAAATAAAGTCAAAATGAAACAATAATTGGCATCCTTCGAAGTACTTACTATGTCATTAATTTTATAAATATCAATTTTCACAAAATCAAACTTTCTTATATGTATTCTTTTTTTAAAGTGTATTTATTTATTTCGAGAGTGAGCAAGCACAAGTTGGGGAGGGGAAGAGAGCGGAGGGAGAGAGAGGGAGAGGGAGGGAGGGAGGGAGAGAGAGAGAGAGAGAAAGAGAGAGAGAGAGAGAGAGAGAATCCCAACCAGGACCCACACTGTCAGCACAGAGCCTGATGTGGGGCTTGAACTCATGAGCAGAGAAATCATGACCTGAGCCAAAGTCGGACGCTTAACCAACTGAGCCACCCAGGTGCCCCTACATGTATTCTCACGTAATGGTATTTATAAGACCTTGAGAGAGGAGTAAAGAAAGCTTGAGAAACAATAAACCATGTACAATGATCATAAAATTGTTCCAGAAATACAACAGCCACCTGCTCTGGAAACAGAATATTAAAATTATTTATGAAACTGATTTAACGATTAGTCAATAAAAAATCATTCTTACAAGCATAGCAAAATAATAACAATCTAGATCTGAGTAAGCCATACATGAAATTTTGTCTTGAAAAATTATGTTGGCTTTCTCACAATTGATTAATTTAGTTAAGTCTCTGGAAAGTTCTATCACAGTTAGGTTCTGAGTATCAGGCTCATATCCCTATACATATACATAACCACTTCATGAACAGACCACAGTACTAAGATGACATTCTATCTTTTTTTTTTCTTTTGAGGAGTAATTTCAAAAAACAGTGAAGGAAGCTTCTATGTTTATGTATTGACACAAAGAGAATGCTTTGTGCACTTATTTAAATGAGAGATTGTTTCTCAGATGATAAAAAGGTCATTACTAAGGACTTAAGATTTTTCAGTGAAAATATTCAATGTCTTCAGGTAAAACAGAAATATAGGTAATAAAGAATTATGTTTTAATTGGTTTGTACAAGTGGTTTTATACTGCTGATTATGAAGAAATTAGACATTAAGTCCGTATTTCACAGGCTCATTCGTTTAAGAAGTCTATTTTTAAAAGCTAATCAATCACAGGTTATAATCATGGCTTCCACTTTAAAGCTTTTTGTAGAAAATATTCAATCTTCCTTCTATCCACCCTCTCACTGTCCTAACCACACATGATACCCTGGTTGCTGGCTCACGAGCCTCTTTCTCTGCTCACTTGTAATTCAGCCTTGACTTGTTCATCCCAACCACTCTGCCTCCCCTACCTTTTTAAACTATCTTACCTTTCTTTTAACTGTTTTCTTGGCTACTACTACTTCTTGCTCTTTCTAATAAATAGAAAATATCTAAAAGTTAATGTAAAACCTTTCATGCTATGTGTTCTATGGTTATAGTAAAACTCTCCAGAGACTTTCCAAGACGATCTGTAAAGCTTACATTAACCTCAAAAACAATACTTAATAAGAGACAAAGAAAAAAAGGAAAGAAAGATAAAAAAAATTTTGTGAGACATTTATTTTCCTAAATGTTAATTAAGTGTTTTTAACAGCTGGGAAAGCATATAAATGCTTTTACCCTTAGCAATGTTTCTACACGCTATAAAAACAACAACAACAACAACAAAAAAAAAAAACCATTTATAAATCTTGGTTCAGTAAATGTAACTTATAATGGGTAGTTCCAATATATCTATCTGCATACATTATAAGACAATATTATTAAGTTTATTGTAGGCTTTAAACATAAAAAATTATCAGTGAAATAATGCAAACTTTTCTGGCTATTGGCAGCTTGAAACTGATCAGAAATTAGATTACAATAACCAAGCCAATTCTACTCATAGAAATCATAAGAACTGGGATGCTAATTGAGCCAAATAACATATTCAGCATTTCTGTTGTTGGTCTCACTACCACACGCATGGTAGTAGGAATGTAGGAATACACATATTTACAATTTTTAAAGTAACAGCCATCGAAATGGATTTATTTTATTCCATACCTGTATTGAGCTGATCATTGTGCTAAGTGCAAATACCGTGGCCGAATCTCTCAGAGTTGACTGGCTATCAAAGGTTCCCTGAGTATCCATCAATAGCACTGCAACCTACAGGCAAGTAGACAATATATTATAGGTATTTTATAGAACATATGTAGAATTAGGGCTACTACAAAGTTAACACTATGAGAACTATAGCAACCCATTATCAATGAATACTTAACAGGTAATTTTTTATATATGCCATGAATGCCACAGAAAATGAAAATATTAATTAGCTGAGTACTATAATGATTGATTTTCACTGGTAATCCAAGCTAACAGAAACAGCACTGAAACAACAGACAGCTGTTAGCTTGCTGATCTGCTGTTCTATCGTTCCTATTATTTTATCACCTTGATCAACAGAAAGGGAAACAAGGAATCCCTTTTGAACTTCATGTCAAATGGTCAAAATTAGTTTTCAAAAGATCATTTTCAAGGATCCTGAACAGTGGTAACAGTTGCCAATTGAAAACTCAATTTTCTTTACAAAGTTTGCATCTTACCTTCTTGCCATCAGGTTTATTGATGAGGAAGACTTCACTCCATATTTGGATTCCTGTGGTCTCTCGTTCAGACCCACCTCTCCATGAGAAACCAGTCAATGGTTCATTGTAATCTCCAACCCAATCGACTGATTCCTGCAAATTAAGAAAGTCTGTGATATGGAAGTGGACGGTGGTATACTTTCCTCCCTGCATCCGTTCTGGCGGGTATCTCTCTCCAACTGCCGTCAAAAGGAGATGTATTCACATCTACTGTACTGATACAATTACTTTCTTTGTTATCTGAAACATTATAACAGAGGAGCAACCATGTGCTACATTTTATTCTAGGTCCTGGGAATAGGAAGATATCATTCCAGACCAGAGGAAGCTTACAGCCTAATAGAAAGACAGACCTGTCAAGAAACCATTATGATGCAATACATGCATGCCAAAATGGAGGTGCGTATTACGCAAAGATAGAAGCATAGGAAAAGAAATAACTAACAGTTGGTCAGGTAGGACTTAATAGGAGAGGTGGTGCTTGTGCTAAAACTTGAAGGATGTCTGGGAATTTTTCCAGATGAGCAAACTTGGGGAGGGCATTCTAGAAGCAAAGGAATAAAGATAAGAGAGAACATAATATGTCAGGATATACACAATAATAATACATACAAATGCTTTGGTATTGGAAGAGGAGGGGGTGAATAGCAAGAGGAGAGGCACCTAGTAGCAGATGCAGAAAAACAAAAACAAAAACACAACAGATCGGTTACACTTTAATCTGGCAAGTGCCATTTAATACAAGCAACATGACAAGTGTTACTGAGCATTTGATTTTAATGTTTATTTTACAGTTAAAACTATGAATATGCCTAAAACTGTATAATCCCACAATATGGAAACTAATATGGATACTAATTTTGTTCACTTAATTTGCCCAGCTGTGTTAAGTAGCATATTAATGGTGATATGCTAGAAACAGAGAGTTCTATCTGGTTTCAAAGCATGAAGTATTTTGGTAGTTCTATTCTTGATTTGTTTGAACTGAAGCTAGAGATAGAAGATATTAAAGTTAACTTTACTAAATTGATCAAAAATACCCTAACTATAAAAGATCAATCCAAAATGAATAGTTACGGTATAAATACATGATACAAAGTTTCTTTGGGTAGTGTGTCTATTCTGCCTCAACATCCATATTTGCAGCAGAAATGGCTATGGGTAAAGAGTACAAAAAACTACTTGTACGTTCTCCATTCCCAACCTTCGGTTTTCTGACTCTGATTTCTCATTTATCCTTCTGCTGTTGGTTTATCCTAGGTCCCTTATAGTCTCATTTCTGTGCCACACTGCTGTCTCAAATGTTATAACACTGTTGGTTGTCTCTGGGGATGGGTAAGATGAGAACCGAGTGGGAAAAGATAAGAGAGAACTTTCTGGGGTAACAGCAAGATATAGTTGATAGCATTTGGGGTCATTCAGGCATATGCATTTTCCAAAAAAACAAAATAATAATTAGCAAATGTACACCTACAATTTGTGCATGTAAGTGTATCTGATTTTACAACAAAAGATAAAATCTACTGAAATATATGATGATGATGTATATTGAAATATTTATGAGGAAGTGCAACCAATGTCAGCAATTTACTGTGACATGAATAAAAAAATAAGATGCAGTGACAGATTTACAGTAAAGAGGGAAGAGTATCTGGAGACACATGTGATGAAGCAAGAATATTAACAGTAAAATCTAGGTAGTTTGATACATAGGTGTTCACCATAAAATTCTTTTAACTTTGCTGCCTGTTTGAAAAATGTCATCATAAATGCTGGAGGGAATATGATTATAATATAAAAGTTATGATAAAAATTATTTGACACACTTTACACACTCTAAAGTGTAAAGTTTATAATCATATCACTATGCTGTGTTTCTTTCTAAAAGAATTAAAAAAATAAGTTATGTCCTAAGGGAAATGTTGCAAAGTGGCTTCAGACAAAAGTGGCCTATGGAGTTTGGTGCCCAAAGCACTGAAGTCAGAATGGTTGTACCACAGCATTAGCAAACTAGTTCATATTAAGGTATATGATAATGGAAGCGGAAATACTTTACACTACTAAATAAAAACACAAAGTGACAAAAGCACGGAAACAAGAAGACATTTTAAAACACTTCTTTTGTTTTAGTTTAATTATTTATTTTGAGAGACAGCACGCAAGTGTGTGCATAGTGGGGAAAGGGCAGAGAGAGAGAGAGGGAGAGAGAACCCCAGGCAGGTTGCACACTGTTAGTGCAGAGCCCGACATGGGGCTTGATCCCATGAACCATGAGATCGTGACCTGAGCTGAAATGAAGAATTGGACACTTACCCGACTGAGCCACTCAGGTGCCCCTTAGAACACTTAACATACCTGGTTGTACATGTATCTCAACATGAAGTCCATCAGGAATGATTTTCCTTTCCTAAATGCTCCAGCAACAGACACAGCAACAACCTCCTTGTCCCTGACAGCCTCTGAGAGAAGGATCCGATTAAGTGCAGTTTCATCTAAGTCAAAGGAATGGTCATCTTTGACGATGAGGACTTGGACTGGCCCTGCCTTTTTCACTGGCTCCTCCTCTTCTGAGCTCCATTCATATGTCTTTTCTGAAAACCCACCTGTTGAATAAAACAGCAATTTACTCGGCTAAGCATCTCAAAATACCAAGAAATGTAAGGTACCTCTCAATTCTCAAATATCTGAAACAGGGGCACAGTGGAATTAGAAATGCCTGTTTTAATAACATACATTAATGTCATTCACATCGTGTCTCAGAAAGACATATCTGGTCTTTCTGATCATGTGACCAAACCAAACAGAATTTTATTCTCAAGAATGCTCTAAGTCAGGGCAGAGAACTCTGTTTGCAGAATGAGAAAGAAATTCAAAGCAAAGGATTCTACTTTTGGAGCACAGGAATAAAAGGACTTTAGTTCATACTTTCTTCATCTCCTAGAAATAGGTTTAGTTATTCACATAAAGGATCCTTGCAACACTTTTTAAAGCTGAACATACAAAAGAGGAAATGCATACAGGGACTCAGAATCACATATTTTTGAAACTAGAATAAAGTTCTAAAGCATCTAGTTCTAAAGCTCTTTTCAATACATTCACACCATCTACAAAATCCCAGATTCTTAAATGTCTAAAATTATACCTCAGAGCAATGGAATTACAGACAACCTTCAAATCCATAGCGAAGGAGTCTAGACACAATTTGATTTTTATTTATTTTTTTTTTTTAAATTTTTTTTTTCAACGTTT